TTTTTGGAAGCTGAGCTTGCAATGCATAGATATCTCAGAAAACCACAGTGCAACAGAAGTTGCAGGCAGAAAATATTTTGCTAGCTGCAGAAGCTGAGTGCTTGCAACTACGGGCTCCCGAGTGCCTAAATGAGTTTGAAAGAACTGTTAAGCACCATTCACAAAAAGAGCTGTCTCTCTTAAATGCTGTAGCAGGAAAATAAACTCTGCAGAGCCTCAGAAGTGCATTTAAAGCCCTTGGGGATGCAGTGCTACAGGTGCATCAGCAGAATTGCTCCATCTGCTGCGAACTGTGCAGCATCTTCAGCAAACCAAGTCAAACTCACACACCCTGCAAAAGAACACCTCCATTGGGTTCAGTTGAGCAGAAGGGCTTTTACTGCTCAAGAAAGATGATGCACAGAGCATCTGAATTGCTCACCAGTGGTTTTAACATGCATGTCTTAAAGTTCAGATCTCTTCTTGATGAGCAACTGTGCCAGGATGGTAGACTGAGAAAGAAACAAGAGGTTTACATGTTGTCCCGAGGGACATGGATTAGTGGGAAATGTTGGTGACAGGTGGATGGTTGGACTGGATGATCTTAGAAGCCTTTTCTAATCGTGGTGATTCTATGATTATAACATTAGTAACCATTTGACCTCCTCCAGCACCAAAAGAACCATCCGGAGGGTTGAACTGGCATGAACACAAGCTAGAGAGAACTTGCAGCAAGCTGGCCTCTACACCACCCTGTCCTAAAGGTTCAGCTGAATTCCAAGGCCTCCCTGATAAGGCCCAGCTGGGTAACAATGCCTTTGGCTATGGAGGTTGCCAAATTGTGAGAAAGAACACAGAGCCCTGCAAGATAAGAAAGAAAAACTGAGGACAGAGTGTGATAGGTAGCAGCTCAAAGGTCTGAAAGGAGAAAACTCAACAACAGAGTGGCAAAAGATCCTAAAAGGGTAAAAGCTGGGCCCCATGAGCTCAAGAAGGCAGCTTAGTAGCATGATGATCCACCCAACTGTTGCCTGTGGGCAATAAATACAACGTTGGGTGTCTTTTTCAGTGGTCTGCATCATCTTGTGCCACACTAGTCCTTGCTATCTTTTATGTACAAGAAATGCTCCAGGAGAGGCTGTGGGTGCCCCATTCTTGCAGTGCCCAAAGGCATGGATGGGGCTTGGGGACAGCAGGGGCTGTGGGAGGTATCCCTACCCATGGCAGGGTTGGGGCTGGGTGGGCTTATAGCTCCCTGCTAACCCAAACCATTCTAGGATTCTGATTCTATGAGAGGCAGCAGGTTACAAACTATTAAGAAGCTTATGTGTGTTTTTAAAACCCAGATAGGATGAAAAAATACAAGTGTAAGAGCCTGCAAACAGGAAAAACCAGTCTTAAGTCGAGAAACTTACCAACAAAGGAATATTGGAAATACAAGCTAAGAGAGTGGGACACGTTCCCACAAGCTCTGCCTCCCTGAGCCCCGATGACAGGGAAGGGAGAATCATATCTGGGCTGGAGGCAACATTCTTGTTGGAAAAAAGGGCAGGGAGCTGAAGAAAGGATGAGAGGGCTTTGTGAAAGTCAGTGAAAGCTGATGGTAACTCAGGAAGGAGGATGGCAGGATGGAGGATGGCAATTCTCCCTAATTTATTTCATACTACCTTCTTCTTCCTTTCCTTTTCCATGCAGCTTCCACAAGTGCTCACAGAGTGGTTTACATTGGAGGGGTCCTTAAAGATCATCTTGTTCCAACCTCCCTGTTACAGACAGGGCTGCTCCCCACCAGCTCAGGCTGCCCAGTATCCCAGTCAGCCTGGCTTTCAGCACCTCCAGGGATGGGGCACCTCATCCTCTCTGGGCAGTGCTGCCAGGGCCTCACTTCCCTCCGAGTAAAGAATTTCTTCCTAACACCTAACCTAAATCTCCCCTCTTTTAGCTTAAAGCTATTCCCCCTCAAGATCACAGATTCAACCAGGGCATGTTTGCTGCAGCCCAGGCTGCCTCTGATTTTAAGGTCTTCAATAATCTTCTCCACATTAGTGGAGCACCAGGTCCAGCAGTTCTTCACCTCTGGTGGGTCTGTCCAGTACCTGAACCAGAAAGTTATTGTCAGTGGAGTCTCCTTCATTGCTTGCAGGCTGCTATGTTGTTTTTCCAGCAGATGTCCATGTGGTTGAACTCTCCCAACAGGATGAAAGCCTGCAAGCATGAAACCTCTTGCAGCTGAAGCAAGAAGACCTCATTAGCAGGTTTCCCTTGATCAGAGGAGCTGCCCTTCATTTCTCCAGTCCAAAAACCAAGACCCTTCACCTTTTTTATTTTTTAGCAGCACTGCTTGTGACTGGTTCTCAGTTGCACCTTCTTAACATTGTTGCCCCTTTTTGTTTTTGAAATCACTACCCATACCTCCTCCTTCCAGCCCCACAGCTTTGTATTTGCTGGCTAGGAGGACTGTAGGGACAAATGGGAGAGGCTCCAAGCAGAGACAAGCTTCCAGTCCCCCTCATCCTGTACATTTGCTGTCAAGTTGGAAGCCTTATCTATTTCCCCTTGCCAGGACTTAGTGCTGTTGGCCTGCCTGTGCCACTGCGTAATGCCAAGCATCACTCTGACTGCTGGGTACATCTCAGCCTTGGTGACTTCCTCTTGCATCCTGCTCAGCTGCTCATCTTGTTCACAGCTCCTTGCAGGAGCCTCAAGCTGGATCTCTGTGCCTAGGTGCCTCCTGGAGCCACAAGAGAGCTAGCTGTAGACATGCTGTCCTCTTGCTTTGCTGCTCTGGCAGCTCCACCTGGGCTCCACTTCTTGCTCCAGCCTCCAATTAGAGCCCAGAGGCTGCTTCTGCTCAAAGCTGTACAACAGCTGAGCATTCCACTCCCCAGCAGTGAATGAGAGGCAGATGAGAATAAAACATTTTCTCTGGACTACCCCCATAGAGCACACCTGCCTGGACACTGGCAACATCAACCCACACAAGATTCCACCTGTGGCAGTGGCAGGACCAGGGCTTTGATCTTCCAACCCTATGCCTTAAAAAGCAGTCATCCTTCCAACCTGCATAGGGATCCCATTGACAGAGGCTTAGATGACATCTTACCTACCCACAAGGAGTTTTCATCTTACAGATCTTTGTGACTTAATTGCTAAAAGCATCATCAGAAAGTTTACCACCACAGCTGGCAATCGAGGCTGCAAAGCTTTCTCCTTCTGGCTGGCTTACTTATCATCCACAGCAGTTTCTCCCAGTAAGTGTGCTGTGTGGCATCACAAGCAGCTGGGTTAACACGAGTGAGGAGGGGAAAAAAATGTAGAGAACAACATGTTAATGTAACATTACCAAACATCTTCCAGCTGTGGGCAACACAACATGAGCTGTATAAATAAAAGGGTCTTTTCTAGACCTACAGAAGAAAATCTTTTTCTCTAAAATACGTAGCATTGGAGTACAGCAATCAGACCCATGAATAGGCTGAGTGCCTTGTATCGTTCATCCTATTTTCATACCTACAGAGCATCTTTAAGACTGACACGACATGCATTTTAATACAGCACATCAGTCATTTTGTGGACACTTCATCCCTATGACAACCCATCATTCACAAAACAACAGCTCTCCTGTTGCACTGCAACAGTCAAACCTTCAGCAGTTACAGCAGTGCCTCACCATCCCAGTATGACCTACGATGCTTAAGGTTGTCTCAGAGGTACCAGCAATGCTCTTACAACAGATAACCAAATCATCATCATCTCCACCTCTGAAAGGTGAATGCCATAGTTGTGTCCTGACGTTCACACAGCAGCAGAAAGGGAGAAGCATCTCAGAGTCATGTCAGGGGATGACGGTGGTTCTTTCTCATTGTTTGCTTCCACTGCTTGGGGGACAACTGGCAGCTTGGAAGACAGCCCTGCAATGGCTCTAAACAAAAGCATTTGGCTTTTCATGGATGCTTATGGCCACAGTCTGCTGACTTATAACACCCTCAAGATCCATTCATGCCACAGCACGCACAAGACACGGGGATTTGGATGTTGCACAAACACCACTAACCATAGGTGCCCAGGATTTAACGAGGTGAACTCACACACAGTCCATTCACAGAGGTTAACAGATATTAGGAAATGTTTCACAGTGAGGTAGTGGCACTGCTGCCCAGAGAGCTGTGGGTGCCCCATCCCTGCAGCACCCAAGGCCATGGATGGGGCTGTGGGAGGCATCCTTGCCCACTGCAGGGCTGGGTGGGCTCTAAGGTCCCTTCCAAACCAAATGAGTTACAAGTCATCCTGTGAAGCTTTGGGACTGTACAAGCTGCAGGGCAACAGAGAGCTGATCTGCCGAAAAAACAGAATTCATAGAGCATTCTTCTACCTCTCAGTGATGGCCCAGGGACACAGCATGCTGACCCACCTCCTTTCCTGCCATGTAGAAATGATGCTACCTACTGTTTCTAAGTGAGGTGGGGAGAGCCCTAGTACTACTAATGAGCTTGCAAGGTTCTGCTTCAGTCCTGCCCACTCTCCCTTTAACATCTGCCTGCATCATAGAATGGCCTGGGTTGCAAAGGCCCACAGTGCTCATCCAGTTCCAACCCCCTGCTGTGTGCAGGTCACCAACCAGCAGCCCAGGCTGCCCAGAGCCACATCCAGCCTGGCCTTGAATGCCTGCAGGGATGGGGCATCCACAGCCTCCTTGGGCAACCTGTTCCCTTAAGGAATCTAATACAAGCATAGAACTGTAATTAATTTCTTTCCCACACCACGTGCAGAGCTGGTGACAAAGGACCAAAACCATGGAAGCAGAGCTCTGCAATCCACACACAGAATCAAAGTCTCAACCTTTTCATGTAGCCCTGCAGCACAACTCCCCTCTTTATCACCTCTGTAGGAGAAAATACACATCAGCCAGGAAAAATAAGCTTTAGACAAGTGTTTGCATCCAACTCACACAGACAATGAGAAGTGAAGGCAGTGCTACAAGGTTCTCCAGCACTGTAATTAAAGAATCCCAGTCTTCAAGGTTTTAATTGGAACATTTTAATTTGAACAGACAATTCTATTATCTTCTCAACATATCTACAGTGAAGCTTACAGCCATTTTGTGTCTGTTTCTCCCCCCTCTAATGGCTGAGCCATTTCAACCACAGTCAATTTTTCTTCCCTCGGATTTGTTATATTCAGTATATTCAACGCCACAGCAGCCAGGATTCTGTACACGTTCAGCATACATCTAACAACAGCACACAGCTCCCAGCCCTGATATTTAGTTTTCAAATGAAGATTGATGCAGCAGCTGAGTCCAATTAGCAAATTCCAGATGTTGAGACAGAAGTGCACTCATCACTTCAGTCTGCACGGCCTGACAGATAGACAGCACACATCAAGCAGTGCTATTCAGTGTCACAGTTACATGAAATGAGTGCTATTACAAACATTTTCCCTTGTACAGGAACCTGTACATGACAGCACCTTCCAAGGCTTTAGCAAAGCACAGTGAGAAGCCAGCATGCTGTACAGTGCAATTTCAGTTCCGTTGCACGCAACGTGGACAACAGTGCACTTCAACAGGTCTCCACATTCAAGAGTTAGAATCAATACAATCAAAATATTGAAGGTACATATTTCCCTTTGTCTTTGTGAAAACTTGTGCAAGTTTGATTCCTTTTCCCTTTTTCTTTTGGTTAATGGCAGCGTGTCTGCACTGAGTGAGCCCGGGGGAAGGGCCCACAAAGACTATATGCTAAGGAACAGAAGGGCATCCCAGCAGCTGTGCAAAGCAGCATCACACTCACAGCCTGGGAAGATACAGCAGAGTGTGGTTAACTCCACGGGGTGAGCCCTGCAGGCTCAGAGGAAGCAAGCTGATCAAAGCAAGGGAAGAAGTGTGATAGACATAAGCTAGCAAACAGCTGGAGTGCTCCACAGTCTGGGAAGCACTGGAATGGAAAGGTGAAAAGAACTGCAGGTGCCATGAGACATCTGAGAACTGTTTGTTTTCCCTGGAGGATGCGTGGGGTCCACACGTTGGGTGAGCTCTACCACACAGCACCCAGCAGTACTGTAACACTGCACAAAGGGGACTATTTGCAGAAGAACTGGGGGGGGGGAGGAATAAAAGAACCACCTGCTGCCACTGCTCACAATGACTGTGTCATTTTCACATGAAGACTGCAAATCCATGCCATCTCCCCAGATGCCTGCAGTTTCTGTAAGAGATAAGAGACTACAGCAGCCAAGCAATTACATCAAAAAAGAAAAGAGAACAGCCTTCTTTGCTTCTCTATTATTTAGCTCAATATATAATTACTATGTTAGGAAATTGCATAACCTTTAAGTGTGTTTTATGTACAGCCTATTATGGGGAAAACAGTCCCTTTCAAATCCTTCTCGTCTGACTCATGATGTGTTTTGGACATACAGCAACAGCAGAAGTTCTGAATGGGATGGGAGTACAACATCCAGGCAGCTGCAGACAGCACAGCCATAGCTCTGAAGGGTGAGCAGTAATATTCAGGGCTTTGGTTTGCAATATAAGCAGGCAGCTCCAAAAATCCAGAGCCTGGAAATGGAAGAAAGGCATGGCCAGCTTGCATCTCCCTTGTTGTGTGCTACAGGTCATCAGCCACTCTGATAAATACAAGTGTTCCCTATGTCAGCTGTAATCTTGGGAACAAGTTTGCTCTACGAGAGTAGGAAGAAACAGATATTACCATGAAGTGTTTGAGCCACAGGACTTAGAAGTTTAGGCTACTCAAGAAGAAAATTAAGGAGATATGGACTGAAGCAAAAGGCATTAAGGTAGTGCTTAATATCAGTCTCCTTCATTATGGAACACCTTTTAAAAAGGCATCTTTAGGTGTTACACAGAAGGCTGCTCTCCAGATACTCCCAAGACAACTAAGGAGCCTCTATTTTCATATCCTCATGCTAAGTGGCTTTTAAGCAAAGGCAGCTTCAATCCAAAGCATCAAAAAAATGACACTTGAATTCAACACTTTTCGAAGAGGTCAAGATTGACCTCATGCAGCTGCACTGGTTTCAGCAGCAACAGGCTACAGTGAGCAGCTTACAGTAATCCCAGCCACATGCACTGCTTGATTTCAAGTCTCCTCAGTTATGGGTAGCTATCAGTGAAACCTAGCTGGACAAACACCAACATGAGTTAATGCACCACACCATTGTTATCTGAAGGAGAAAGAGACTTAGAAAAAAGAGAATAGCCTTACAAAATAGCAGATTACAGCCACAGAGACAAATAACTACAAAATGAACTGATTTGGAAGAAAATCTTCTCTAGCATCTTTGAACAGTTTTAGTGTAAGTCATTTGCAGCTGCTGTTAACACTTCTGTAATGTGACAGCCTTCCCATCTGCAACATACCTGGTATGCTGGATCACGCCAACTCTCAGCTTTAGCTTTGGATGTTTGACAAAGCACACAGGAAGAGCATGAGAGAAGAAACAAAATGGAGCACTAATGTTTTGCTGAGCAGTAAATTAAGTGCTGCTTGTGCACCTATTCAAATGTATAGAAACAGAAGTTCAAGAGGGTAGTGTGGCTCTGAAGAGGACAGCTCCAAGTCCCTTGCTTTGCTCAGCAAGTGAACACACCTCCAGCAATCACCACCTTTTTGTTTTCCAGGTAGAATAAAAAATATTTTTTATTCCTTAGGAGTTACTTGTCCATGAGGAACAACTCCACCTGAAGGTCATAGCTTAAACATTAGCAGCAGAACCCCTATTCAGTTCTGTATTGCACTGAAATTTCTTACCTGGTATGTAACCTACTGCTCCCAAACCAGAAAACCCCCAAGTCTGAGATGTGAAGGCTACTGAAAGCACTGTTTGGACTGGTTGGTCTTGTAGTTAGATTATAACCTTTCTAGGAAACTAAGGAACTAAGCTGCCCTAACTACTTGAGGAGAAAAGGTGCTCTCAGATAGAATGCCTTTAACCCATCTATACATAACTTTGTCTTTTAATCCCGCAAAGAATGTTTAGAAAGTTCAGCAAAAATAAAATAAAAAAGATCAAAGTCCAAAATAAATCTGTAACATTTCATCTCTTGGCCCATCATGGTCATCCATACAGCTGGGTGGAGGAAAGAGTTCCAGCTTTTGCTGACACTGCACAAGTAAGAGACAAGAAAGCTGCCAGGAGAGGAAACTATGCCCAGTTGTACCTTCTGTAAACAAAAGAAAATTCCCTCCCCAAAAGCAGGGAGGTACATTGTGTGAAGTGAAGGTTTCAGAGGTGGAGGACTGAGGGTCAGCTGTACCAGAGGACTCTGCAATACATGCACTTTCCACGTTTAATCTTTAACCTAAAAGGAACTGGAAAAGAAAGACCTGAGGCAAAGCCCTGGCAGCTCACGGGTTCTCCTGCACCTTGTCTACCTCATCCACCTTGTCTACCTCATCCACTTTGTCCACCTCATCCACCTCATCCACCTCATCCACCTTGTCTACTTCATCCACCTTGTCCACCTCATCCACCTTGTCCACCTCATCCACCTTGTCCATCTCATCCACCTTGTCCACCTCATCCACCTTGTTCACCTCCTCCACCTTGTCCACCTTGTCTACTTCATCCACCTTGTCTACCTCCTCCACCTTGTCCACCTCCTCCACCTTGTCCACCTCATCCACCTTGTTCACCTCATCCACCTTGTCCACCTTGTCTACTTCATCCACCTTGTCTACCTCCTCCACCTTGTCCACCTCCTCCACCTTGTCCACCTTGTCCATCTCATCCACCTTGTCCATCTCATCCACCTTGTCCACCTCCTCCACCTTGTCCACCTCCTCCACCTTGTCCACCTTGTCCATCTCGTCCACCTTGTCCACCTCGTCCACCTCGTCCACCTTGTCCATCCTGTCCTCTGTTTCTGTCTGCATCATCTGCTTCCTCATTGAGTTAACCTTATCCTGAAGAAACCTGTTGTAGTCTATAATCCTCTTCATTTCTTCCTCAGCTTCATCTAGGTATCTGGAAGGCCTGTTCCATCGCAGGAATATACCTGAAAGCCCAGAGACAGAAAAAGTCAGAAGGACTTTTTGGTTTGTGGTCAAAAGGACAACAATGCTCATCCTGTTCCAACCCCCTGCTGTGTGCAGGTCACCAACCAGCAGCCCAGGCTGCCCAGAGCCACATCCAGCCTGGCCTTGAATGCCTGCAGGGATGGGGCATCCACAGCCTCCTTGGGCATCACACATAGGTCAGAGAAAGTTTCTTCAACAGATGGTGTAGTGCACAGATTATCCACCTATTGGCCAGGATAAAGGAGGAAAAGGTCTTGCTCATGCAGAATAAAGAAAGCCTGGGGCTTACAGAACTTACCATAGATAAGGCTGCATCACTGCAAAGATACTGTGCTAACAAGTTAAATGGTACTCAGAAAGTCCAGTGTGACCCCTGCCAAAAACTAGCATGTTGCTAAACCTCATGAGGCAGCATTATGCTTCTGGGTAAACTATGTTCCAAACATATTTTGGAACAGATTTCAAAGGGAGTGAGAACATTAACAGCTGAGACAGACTAAGCATGGAGCAGAGACAACAGAAGCAGATGCTTCACTAGTAGCCACAAAATACATATGAGCTTGGTTTACCTTCCCAGAGCTGCAGGCTCTGTGGGGCCACAGAGGGCCAGATGACAAGGCTGTTGGCCTCAAAAAGAGGATTCTGGAAATTTTTCAGCTCTTCAGGCTGGTTCACCCAGGACCACAGGGACATAGTCTTCTGCTGCAGCTTCAGTTTAGACCTAGCAAACCAGAAGGACCAAATTAGCTTTTAGTTTTAAACTAAGAATCACAGAATCCTTAGAGTTAGAAGGGATCTTTAAAGGTCATCTAGTTGACTCTCCTGCAGTGAATAGGGACACACATAGATCAGGTTGCCCAGGGCTTGATCCAGAAGAAGACAACTCATTTTGCTTTGTCAGATTAGACTGCCACAGGCTTTCCCATGTGCTACCAGCCCAGACAAAGTAATGGATCAACAATTCAAGCTCATCCCTTCAGTACCACTCATCAGCACGGCACCAGCTTGGTAGAAATCTAAAAGCAGTTTACTCAAATGCTGTTTCCCCAGCTCTTCTTTGTCATTTCCTATTTGGGTTGAAGTTAGCTGCGTTCTTCTTTCCAGATGTCAGTCACCTACCCCAAAAACAGTTTGCCTGCCAATTTTGAAAAGGACTCAGTCTTGTTAAGATTGAGTCATGAGGAACGATGGTAGGTCAACATCAAGTGCAATTCCTGGTGTTGGGCCTAAGGCAGAATTAGTGCTATGGATATGGCCCATTAGATCCCTCTGGTGGCAGGAAGCATCAGAGCACAGAAAGAAACGTCTTTTCCTGGGTCAAACCCACCACCTGGAGTTAAACAAGGGTTTCTAGTCGTGGGATTCTAGCAGATCTCATCCTGTCGAGCTGTCACCCAGGTGGGATATTTGCCATCCCCACGAATACTTCAGGCAGCACAACCTTAACACTGGACTTCAAACATGCTTGTGATCACAGGTGGATGTACTCAGACACGACAGAGGTTATTACACCTAACATTCATATTCTTTCAAATTTCATTTGACTGGTTTTAAACCTGACTTAGTTGTGCAGTCTGACCAGTTCAGCAGCCCTGCAGAAGACAGGAATCTCTTCTAAGCAAAGGTTACTTTCAGGGCTGAGAGGTTTCACCCCGCCTTTATTTGTATTTGTATTTATTTGTATGATCAGCACTATTTCTTCCCTCTGTTCCTTCAGAGGTCTTCAGACATGGTCTTACTGGACTCAGGAGGCCTGAAAACAGACAGTTTTAAGATAAAAACAGGAAATGAAACCACTGGCAGCTGCCAACTGTCCTTTGGGGCTCCTACCCTCCTGAACTCCAGTAGTGCTGCTCAGTGCATGCCCAGAGCTGCCCCACTGGTACAGCACAGCATCAGAAGCTGAGCAGGATTCAGGTGCTGAATGTTGGCCTGCTCAAGTGCCTGAGAGAAGGAGAATCCCCCTAGCACTGCAGCACACCCTGCAACTGCAACAAGAGAAACTCACCTGTGTCCAGAAAGAACAAACCATCACCCTCACTTTTTTTCAAATCAAGCAACATTTTTACCAGACACAACCTGATATTTAAGGGGTTCAGAGCAAGCAATCTCACCAACCTTTCGTTTTCGTTGTTTCCCAGGAAAGTCCCAAATTGTGAAGCATAGGCGTGCTCAAAGAGTGTAATAAGGAAGTGTTCATTGAATTCAAAAGAGCAAGGAAATTGATGAAGGATTTGCCATACACAGTCCAAAAAGAGAAGAAACACTGGGGCCTCCAATTTCTGCTTGCTATTTGAGTAGGCTGATTGGGCGCAGCGCTGCTGAAAAGGGTGACCAGCCTATAAAGAAAAATCAGAGCATCACAAAGAGCAACAGAATGCGAGTACCACAGAATCATAGAATGGCTTGGGCTGAATAGGCTCATAATGCTCATCCAGTTCCAACTCCCTGCTGTGTGCAGGTCACCAACCAGCAGCCCAGGCTGCCCAGAGCCACATCCAGCCTGGCCTTGAATGCCTGCAGGGATGGGGCATCCACAGCCTCCTTGGGCAACCTGTTCCAGTGCCTCACCACCCTCTGGGGGAAGAACTTCCTCCTCGTATCCAACCTAAACCTCCCCTGTCTCAGCTTAAGACCATTCCCCCTTGTCCTATCACTATCCACCCTTGTAAACCCCTTGTAAATAGGAAGACTCTACAGGTACATTGGCCAGAAGCGACAGGTCAAAGCTCGTGTGCCTCCTTTGGTAAATGTAAAGGGAGAACCGTCTTCAATGGATGAAGAAATGGCTGAAGTACTGAATGAGTTCTTTGCCTCGGTCTTCACTGGTGGCCAGGATTCCAGTATATCTCACGTCCCTGAGCCCTGCATCCCTAAACCTCTGGGTGGGGACCAGGGCAGTAAATCCCCCCCACTGTAAGGGCAGAACAAGTCCGAGATCACTTCATGAGACTGAATGTGTACAGGTCTATGGGCCGGATGGCTGCATCCCAGGGTCCTGAAGGAGCTGGCTGAGGTGGTTGCTGAGCTGCTCTCCATCATATTTGAAAAGTCGTGGCTGTCAGGTGAGGTCCTGGGTGACTGGAGGAAGGGTGACGTCGCTCCCATTTACAAGAAGGGGAGCAAGGAGGACCTGGGGAACTACAGGCCAGTGAGTCTCATCTCTGTGCCTGGGAAGATGATGGAACAGATCCTCCTGGATGACATGCTTGATCATATGAGGAATGAGCGTGTGATCAGAGACAGCCGGCATGGCTTCACCAGGGGAAGGTCATGCTTGACCAATCTGGTGGCCTTCTATGATGGAGTGACGGCATCAGTGGACAAGGGAAAGGTGACTGATGTCATTTACCTGGACTTGAGCAAGGCCTTTGACACGGTCCCCCACCACATCCTTATCTCCAAATCGGAGGGATGTGGATTTGATGGGTGGACCACTTGAGGGATAAGAAACTGGTAGAAAGGGCTGCAGACAGAGGGTGGTCATCAATGGCTCTGTGTCCGGGTGGAGGCCGGTAACGAGCGGCGTCCCCCAGGGCTCTGTCTTGGGACCGGTGCTCTGTAACATCTTCATCAATATCAACTATGGATCGAGTGCATCCTCAGAAAGTTTGCTGACAGCACCAGGCTGAGTGGTGCAGTTGATATCGTGGCAGGAAGGGATGCCATGCAGAGGGAATTCAACAGACTTGAAAGGTGGGCCTGGGTGAACCTGATGAGGTTCAACACAGCAAAGTGCAGAGTTTGGCACTTGGGCTGGAGGAATCCCAGGCATCCATACAGACTGGAAGGAGCAGTCCTTGAGAGCAGCCCTGTGGGGAAGGACCTGGGGGTCCTGATGGATGAAAAGCTTAACATGAGCCAGCAGTGTGCTCTTGCTGCTCGGAAAGCAAATGGTGTCCTGGGCTCCATCAGCAGAGGGGTGGCCAGCAGGGACAGGGAGGTGATTGTCCCCCTCTACTCGGCTCTTGTGAGGCTCCATCTGGAGCACTGTGTCCAGATCTGGAGCCCCCAGTACAAGAAAGACAGGGAGCTGTTGGAGAGGGTCCAGAGGAGCCACAAAGATGATCAGGGGGCTGGAGCACCTCCCCAGTGAAGACAGGCTGAGGGAGCTGGGCTTGTTCAGCCTGGAGAAAAGAAGGCTGCGGGGTGACCTCATGGCAGCCTTCAGTACCTACAGGGAGCCTACAAACAGGAGGGGAATCAACTCTTTGAAAGGGGAGATAACAGCAGGACAAGGGGAAATGGTTTTAAGTTGAAGGAGGGAAGATTGAGGTTGGATGTCAGGGGGAAGTACTTTATTATGAGAGTGGTGAGGAGCTGGAACAGCTGCCCAGAGAGGCTGTGATGCCCCGTCCATCCCTGGAGGTGTTCAGGGCCAGGTTGGATGGGGCCCTGGGCAGCCTGGGCTGCTCTGAAACGTGGAGGTTGGTGGCCCTGCATGTGGCAGGGGGTTGGAGCTTCATGATCCTTGAGGTCCCTTCCAATCCTGGCAATTCTGTGATTCTGCTTCTTCAGACAAGGACTGTTTGTTCACACATGTACACCAAGGTGTAACCTGCTTACTGCCTCTCAGGCCATTTCCCAATGCAAATGCCAAGAGAACAGATTGACATTTTATCCACCAGGACTTACCTGTAGCCACTCCCTGACAAGAAGAGATTCAAAGCCTTGTATGGTCCTGCAGTCTGGATCCAAGATAATCTGTGCCAGAGAAGTTACCTGGAGTGTTGAATCAGTTCCTTCAGTCCCATGAACCAACACTGATGCACCTTCCCTGTGAGAAAGATGGAAGGGAATAACAGTATGAATGAGCAGAACACATCCCATAAACACACCCCAGTGGATGCCAACACATTAGACTTTGCTCATCATTTATGGTTTTGCTAAGTACTCTGAAATGCTCCCATACCCTCTGAAGATGGATCATCTTCCCAAGTGCTCTGTAAAACAGTACTGTGAGATTCTTGCTCACACCTGCACCTTAACTGGTGTTTCCTGAAAGAGAAGCAAGCCAGTTCAGGAGAAAGAAGGAAGAAAGGCAGAGCTTGGTCTCCAGAAAGGGAGACAAATTGTTTGTCCTGAGCAAGAAAGCTTGTCTAAGAGCCAAGAAGAAAGGCTTCCTGCTCACCAGCCAGCACAAGTGAAGCAGCAGAACATGAGGAGCAAAACATGTGGCAGTCTGGGACAGGAAGGTCTTGCACACTGCTAGGGGTTCACATGACCCACACCCCAGGACATCTGATTCCCTCCCCTCTTCCTCCATCCCAGGCCATATTTGGATATACTTCCAGAACTGAATTTAAGTACTCATGAAGGAAAGACTGGATGGTATTAAATGGCACTTATACCCCTTAACTCCTCCCAGACCTTGAACTGATGTCTCAATTCTGCTAGCATCATTACATAGAAAGGAGATTCACTGTACTTGTTTCTCTGCAGATACCCAAGTATAGCAGCAAAGCTTGGGTAAAACAGCTCCATCTGAGAAGCAAGTAACCCTGCAGATAGATGTTTCTGAATTGAAAAGCAGTAATAAATGCATACCTTAAACATTGCAACATCTTTGTTTACAGTCCTAAACCTAAAATAAACCCAGTGCTTCAACAGTTCAGATGATCTTCAGATACTTTCTCTGCTCCTCCCCCAGACAGAGGCAGAGGCCCCTTCACTGCCAAGCACAACTGCAGAAGTCAATCACCAAGCCTATGCTCTCATCAAAGTGGAGCACATGGGGATAACAGTTTTACATTTCATCTTTTTTGCCCCAGAAAGATGTTCCAGCCATTCCCTCCCTGGAGCCAACATAACTGAGCCACTTTTATCAGCTCAGCTGCCATCACCAGCCTCCAAGTGAGGCAGGCAAGGCATCAGATTGGTGCTGGCACGTCAGAACTCCAGGCAAACAGAAAAAAGGAGAGGTTAAAAATGACAAAACCTTCTGCTCTCCCAAGAAGCCAGAGGAGTTTCATCACTGATTTTTCTGAATGTACACAAGGGGAAAGAATTACAGATAAAGCCATTGATTGGAGAGCCATCCTTTCCTGGCACAGCCTATAACTAAACAGATACCATCAGCGCTTTTAGAAGGCACAGCAGCTCATATTTCAATGCAGTCATGCTATTCTACCAATGAGGCTGCATTTCAGCTTTGCTTGTGTAACTGTGTAATGTTCCCAAGCTGCTACGAAACGCGAGGGGTTCTTGAGCCTTGAGAAAGGCCTTCTTCTTCCAGGGCCACAAAAAGACTGCATTTACACCCCTACATTTAGTCTTAAATCCTGACACCTGACATTAAGCTTCTCTCTCAAGCTTGAGGACAAGTTAGTCAAGTTAGGAGCATTTATTAAAGAAACATTAGGTTAGAAGAGGTCACAAACACTTATAATGAATGAGCAAGATTGCTCAGATAGACTATGGGGATAAAGGTTGAGAGCTCTTTGCAATGGACCAATTCCCAGGGGAATAATAAAGAAATCCATTTCTCCTAGAAGCAGCCTGAAAGTGACCTGGGGTACTGGAAGCTTCCAGTTGAAAAAATGCTTAACACCTAAACAGGAAATAAATGTATTTAACAATTCTTCTAACCAGTGAATGAGAAACCTTAGGCTCTCTGAATAAGAAATAAAAAGCTTTACCTATCAATACACTGAGCAGCTAGGCAAGCTGCAGTGAGTATCTCCTTGATGTAAGTCATCCAGTTGGAAGCTTCCAGTTTACTGAGCCAGCGGTCCATGTTGTGTGACTGGTCATTGCAAGCTTCTACGAGTTTGATGAGGCTTTCCTGCAGAATATTAAACCTTTGGGAAGAGCAAAATATTGAAAATATTAGCAGTAATGCAGAGAAACAGACAAGACACACATTGATCTCAGAATTACTGATACCAAAATGAAGCACTGAGAGTTATACACAGTTACATGAGGAAGGATGACCCCAGAGATGTCATGTTGTTATTCAGAGCCTGCTTTCACCAGGAATCCCAAGCCATGGCTAGTTGTCAGCAGAACACCACAGTCTGGACAGAAGTTGTTTCTTCCATTTCAAAGCAAATTGCTTCGTGGGGTATTACAACAGAGCTCAGATCTGAGCTCTGCCCGCATTCAGCCATACCTACACTTTATATGCAAAGTGCTTCAGCAGCCTTGTTACCAAATACACGTGTTGCTGCAGTCTGGCATGGACATTAGCAAGTGTGAGCCAAGCTTCAAGTGTTTTGTTTCCTATTATCCTAGCTGCTTTAACCTGCAGAGCTGCAATAAGTAACCCAAAAGCCATTCATCACATAACTCCCACTGCAACTCACAACTCTAAGCCAGACTCAGCTTCGCAATGTGGGACCACACGAAGATGAGTTTGGCTAAGTTAATAAGGCAGAAGGTGAAAAGGACAGGGAGAGGGAATGCATTTTGTTTCACTTTTGCAGTTGTTGTAGTGCATCCTCAAGATCTGGAAAGCTGGCATTCTGCACGCAGTGGTAAAGTGAGCTGCTTCTCTGGCCCTACGTCACAACATGCCATCCAGAAGCCTCAAACTGCAAATGGATCAGATGTCACTTCACACTGACTCCAGCACGTGCTCAGGGTAACAAAGGATGCAGCCAGTAGACTAGACCTCAAAAAGATTAAAAAACCTTACAAGAAATGCAGAGAGGAATGAATAAACCTGATGCCTACCATCTACCTGCAAAGTAACCAACGTCAAGCTCAATTCCACACAGTTTTGAGAAGCAAAACTTAATAGTTCAAAGTAGAGGATAGGAAAATCCTTCTATTAGCTCCTCAGAAGCTAGCCTACACAGCAAGTAAGAAGAGTAACTGACTTCCAACAGATCCAGCAACATTACTGCATGCCCATATAGAAAGACTCCCCAAAACCAAGGCTTAGGAGCAGTTGAACAAAGTCAGATCAAAGGTCTGTTTACTCCAGTAACTTGTCTCCACATAGCCAATGAAGTATTACAGTTCCAGAGAAAAGTACGGGATACAAAGTTGTGACAGCCACTCAAGTCCTCACCTGTAGCAGTTCTCTAGCAAAGGACTTCTTCATTCCTGTGTACTGCAAAGAGGAAAGCTGGATTGCAACTATGGATGATCAGAAACATAGATGGCACAGGGAGACTGCAAAATATCTGAAACCTGCAGCAGCAGCAAGCCATTCAAAACAAGGAACTCAGCACAGCTTTCCAAAGCCAAAAACCTTCATTTTGCTAGAATGCAACCCTACTGACAACAATCAAGATGCACAGCCATGTCTTACAGAAGACAATTATTCCATGGAGCTGGCATGGCTCTGCCAACACAACCCTACAAAGCCCAGTGCAGAGGAAGGCCTGTGTGATCTCACCCACCTCTCAATGCACCTGTGAATCCTCCTCCACTGGGGATAATACACTTCTTGTTCAAAGCCTCCTCCTTTGGCCCTGGCCTGCTGGGCAGCATTCAGGGACCTCGTGTCAATGATGTACCCACGCTTCCCAGGACGAAGAGTGGCATTAACAAGTTTCTCATCTTCTTTACAGCGTCTCCCATTTGTACCTGTCAGAGGCTGGCTGCTTCGCATCATGACCTGTGGAGACAAGTAATCCCAAATTAGGAAACAAGAGTCTTAAGGCTCTCAACCTTTAGGAGCTTCTTACGTATCTGCTCAGAGAGGAAAATGCAAATGGAGCACTCCTGGATCTGCAGTTTTTCTGTGGTGTCCTTCCAATATTTGAGATGAGCCTATGAACAGGAGGGGGAGCAGCTGTGTGTGAGGGTGGATAGTGATAGGATAAGGGGGAATGGTTTTAAACTGAGACAGGGCAGGTTTAGGTTGGATATGAGGAGGAAGTTTTTCCCCCAGAGGGTGGTGAGGCACTGGCACAGGTTCCCAAGGAGGCTGTGGATGCCCCATCCCTGCAGGCATTCAAGGCCAGGCTGGATGTGGCTCTGGGCAGCCTGGGCTGCTGGTTGGTGACCTGCACACAGGTTGGCACTGGATGAGCACTGTGGGCCTTTGCAACCCAGGCCATTCCATGATTCAAACAGACCCCTCATCCCACTGCACTTCTTATATCTACTTCAAGTTTGATCCACAACATCAGGGCAATCAGAAAAATGTGCTTGTCTGCACTGTTTGATGCACAAAAACACTACCACACGTTTCTCTGTTTCTCCTGTTTCCCCCTGTCCTGAATCTTCCATTCTTCCAAGTGCAGAGACCGAGCTTATTCAAAAGTCATGCAATCATTTGGCAGAGCACCTCTTACATTAGACTCCTCAGAGACCTAATCCCTTTAATTATTATTGCAGGGCCACTTTCACAAACTCCTGCTGACGATTCCTTCACAAACCAATGTTTTTAGGATCATCGTTTTTAAAGTCTCTTTCCAAATCTGTGTGTCACTCGAGTCATCCAGCTGCTAAAGATGCAGGTAAGTTAGGAATAGTTCTACTCAGCAGCTACACGAGTAAGCCCTGGTTCTACAGATCTATTAGCTCAGATTTTTCTTTCGTAATTGCCTTTCAAACTAGAGTTCTGCTGCATGCCAACAGCTGAAGCATTTAAGAGGTGAGGGCAGCCAGTCAGCACCCCCAGCTGCACTGAGAGCCCAAAGCCAAGAGAGCAACACGACAGACAGCTTTACTGTCACAAGTTCACGCACTGAGACAAATGCTGTTACATTCCTCACACCCGAAACATGAACAATTCAGACGGGTGACTGCACAAGTCTTCCTTCAACAGGTTTCATCCAAGCAGAGAAAGAGCTGAGTGTATGACTTAGGAAATTGGAGGCAAAAAAAACCCAATCACAGAAGTAGAGTAGTGCAGGATTAGATTAGGTGTCCATACAAACCTTGTCCATGGGAGGTAAGAACACAGCATCTGACCCAGGAACCTGGATCAAGGATGCAAGCTGGGTACCCCAACATCCTCAGAACTGACTACATCAGCAAAATACAGAGAATTACTCAATGATTTCATAAAGTACATTTAATTATAACGTATCACTTCCTGGAGTCTGTGCAACAGCAGGATTTTGCTGCTCCTGAAACACATTATACTGAAAGGCTTGGAGAACAGATTGTTCTGATCACTCAACCAACAGTTACACAGCAGAAGCAGTGCTGGCTCCGTGCACACTTGCTGTCACCACAATTCCACTGTGAAGAAGGCAGCCATCACCCAGAGACAGGACAATGTGGTTTCTGCCATCCTTTCAGTACGAAGCCTCTTGGCAGATAAAGCAAGTTAGGGTGCCAATTATGGCTTTACAAGCTCACAGCGCTAAGGGCAAGATGAGACAAGCTCATGCCATGTATGTGCCCAAACAAGCATATTAATAGCTACTTCTAAGCTGGAGATTACTCATTCCATCACCCAGAAGCAGTTTCGAAGCTTAAAAATAAGTTGGAAAATAATATGAGAGAACGTCTCATGAACTGCATTAAGTCTAGAGCACAAGTTGTTTGTCATTAAAGAAGGCTGACGAGATCTGAGCAGGTTTATATACCTCTTTCAGGTACGAGCAACTAACAAATGCAGCTTACCATGCCGTTCTTCTTATGGTAATAGCTGAGGACTGGGAAGCGACCGCCGTGGCGATACGCTGCAACCTTCTGAAGTGTTTCATCATTGATGGATCTGGGGACAATAACCACTGGAGGGTAGGAAGGGCAGATGGAGAAGTCCTTATTGATGTAGCTTAGACGCCATTGATCTGTCTGAAAGAGATGAGCACATACAGGCATTGGGTCAGAACACACAGGCTGTTATTCCTACAGTAAGGCTTACTAAGGAAAAGGAGCTTCCACATCGGATACAGAAGGTATATCCCTGCCTACAGCCCTTCTAGCATCCACTTATAAAATTGCTGACTGATCCTTTCCTCCCCCAAAAAACCCCAACCTCCTGATGCTGTTTGCAACCATGCTGCAGCAGCCCCCAGAAGCTCATTACCCCAGCATGCTGGTCATCTCTTCTGTTGCCTGCAAAGCACTGAGATGACTGTGCTTCTTGAGGGGTGCAATTTGTTCAACAACAGCTCCTGATTTAGTTTTTCCATACCCTCCAACAGCACAAAATTCATCCATGTGGTCAGAAATACGTGGTTGTGGCTTTGAATTATTTCACAGGCACAGCAAGAAACATATCTGCAGTACACACTATGGTCTAAGTTACTAAGCAGGCAACTTCAGTCTTAGAGTACAGCATCTCACTGCCAGAGTGACCTCAGAACAGGAATGTATAAACACTGCTGTAACCATGGATTTCAATTAAAAAAAAAAAGGTACAAGTAACATATACTCAAACCTATAACTACACTGAGACTGGAGCTGCTAACACTTCAGTTCTCTGCTGCCCACAGGGCAAAGAAGGCCAAGAAAGGTAAAAACGTTCACCCATTTCAGGTGATGAAGCTGCTTTGAGGTTAAAATTGCAATTTCACACCTTTAGTCTGGGCTCTGCTTTATGTAAAGCCCTACAGCTCCTTCTCCAAAAGCACTTCCTAGAGCCACCCCAGCATCTGAGCACAAAGTGAACTCCTATTACATAATTGTCCAGCTTCCAGCAGCCCAATGCTTGTGCAAGAACCTGCATGCTGCCAGCATTCAGCCGGTGCTATTTCCAACAAGCAGCTGGCAGAACACATGGGCTATCAGATACCTCGGGTCACACACGACAGTTGGCTCCATTTCAGGTAAAATCAAAGGTCAACAAGTGGTCTCACTGATGAGAGGCTCTCACTGAAGTCCAGGCTGGATGCTGCCCTACCTGAAGCCTTGGACAAACCCAGCCTGCATGCTCAGCCCAGCACTGACACCATCCTAGGACAGCAAAGCGTTGCAGGCTTTGACTAGAGGCAGACTTTCTGTCTGTGATCATATGAAGAAAACTGATTCATAGAATCATAGAATGGCCTGGGTTGAAAAAGGCCTCAAAGATCATCTCGTTGCAACCCCCCCCTGCTACGTGCAGGGCCCCCAGCCATTAGATCAGGCTGCCCAGAGCCACATCCAGCCTGGCCTTGAATACCTTCAGGAAGGTCAGCTCTGAGCAGGAGGTCTCTCGTCCTCTTAGCTTCTCTCCACAGGCACGCTACCTCTTGCCTTACACCTCCTGACTGATACCCAATCATACAAAACTTCTTGCCCAGCTCACTGGATCAATTTAGAAGTGTTTCCTTGCAAGGAGGCTTTCCCACCAGATGAACAAGCTGATCCAATCCATGACATGGCTTCGTCATCAACAGATGCAGCGCGAGGGATGCAGGACCCAAGGGGCAGCAAAACTGTCTTTTGGAGGCAGACTAAGAAAGATGCTGGAAAATGCAACTGTGTGTATTATCAAGGAGAGCAACTGCTAACTGGGTTCAGTTCATTTAGCTCAAGACAGCTTCTTTGAATATCTACACTAAGGAGTAAAGTCTTTCCCAGATGCCAAAGTTAAACTGCCTCTGGCAAACGCATCACAGGAAGAGATGAAAAATGCCTTGATTGCATATGAGAGGCTGACTAGTGACAGCTCTGCTTTTGGTGCATCAAAAAGGATGTTTTTAGAGCTCACTGGGGTGCCTGTGTCAAATTACAGCACATTTGAGATGACCACCCACAACTTATTTACAATGGAAAATAATATGCATGGACATAGAAAGGAACTGACAAATATTTTACTGTCACATAGGATGCAGGGAAGGCAGAATCAAAACTCTGCAGTACACTTTTGGAGAGACTGGCTGTCACTGATATCCCCAGCATGACAGGGAACGAAAGCAGCAACCTGATTTATCTCCACTGGCAACTTCACTCTGTCCACAACTGCCTCTCCTCACCATTTATAACATGAGACAGATACTGTTATGTTATCCAGTTGTAATCTATATGGCAAGGAAGAGGAGAATGGCAGCAATTAGCACTATTTGCCTTCTGCAGCATGGCCACTTCTGCAGAGATCCAGTTACCCCCTGCAGAGCTGTCAAAGCTTACTCCAGCATGAACTTATCCCAGCAAGGGATCTGTGCTTGAAGAAGCCTCAAAACCAAATTCCAGTTAAGGCTGGAAGTGCAAAGGATTATGGAATGAGCACAAAAAGGGAAGAGAAGACTCCAAAGGAAGAAAGGTAGTCGTGTTAGTATGAGATTCTCACATTTCTACTTTGTTTGTCTCAGTACTTTTTAGAAATAGCAACTTTCAAATGTTACTGGAAGGCTAGAGCAATAGTTATCCTTCCTCCCAAAAGCTTATCATTGCTAGAAGAGGTCACTGCCAACAAAACAGAGTATGAAGTAATGTGGGCTCTGCTAGTAAGACTTAGAAGAGCACTAGAAGCCTACATGGAGCTAGAAGAACCCTGCAAAGCAGCAATAGGAGTCCCTACCAGGAACAGGCAGATGGCTGCAAGCCCTGCAACAGTTTGTGCAGAGATGGGAAGGGTAACAACAGATGCCAAGATTGATCCTTGTCTGACAGAAGTACACTGATGCAAAGTGAGCCAGAAAATTCAGTTACCCATAATAAACTCCAGGACGGTAAATAAAAGCTGTCCAGGATCCTAAGAGCTTTAGAGCTTCTCCTCCAACTGGACTGTCACAAGTCCATGGGACTGGATGGGCTGCACCCTCGGGTGCTGAGGGAGCTGATGGGGGTGATTGCTGAGCCCCTCTCAGCCATCTATCAGCGCTCCTGGTTAACTGATGAGGTCCCAGAGGATTGGAGGCTTGCTGATGTGACTCCCATCTTCAAGAAGGGCCATAAGGAGGATCTGAGGAACTACAGGCCTGTTAGCCTGATCTTGGTACCAGGGAAAGTTATGGAGCAAATCATCTTGGATGAGATTGCATGGCATGTGCATGGTGTCCAGGGGATCGGGCCCAGCCAGCATGGGTGTGTGAAAGGCATGTCGTGCTTGACCAACCTCATCTCCTTCTATGACTGGGTGACCAGTCTGGTAGATGAGGGAAGGGCTGTTGATGTAGTCTACCTGGACTTCAGCAAAGCCTTTGACACGGTCTCTCACAGGCTTCTTCTGGGGAAACTGGCTGCCTGTGGTCTGGACCTTCTTTGGGTAAGGAACTGGCTGAGGGCTGTGCCCAGCGGGTCGTGGTGAATGAAGTCCAGCTGGAGACCTGTTTCAAGTGGTGTCCCCCATGGCTCAGTACTGGGGCCCATCTTGTTTAATATCTTTACTGATGACCTAGATGAGGGCATTGAGTGCACCCTCAGTAAATTTGCAGATGACACCAAGCTGGGAGGTGGTGTTGATCTGCCTGAGGGCAGGGAGGCCCTGCAGAGGGATTTAGACAGGCTGGACTGCTGGGCTGAGGTGAATGGGATGAGGTTCAACAAGGCCACATGCTGGGTCCTGCACTTTGGGCACAACAACCCCATGCAGCGTTACAGGCTTGGGGATGGGTGTGAAGAAGAGAAGGACCTGGGGGTGTTGGTTGATGCTCGGCTGAACATGAGCCGACAGTGTGCCCAGGTGGCCAAGAGGGCCAACGGCATCCTGGCCTGCATTAGAAATAGTGTGGCCAGGAGGAGCAGGGAGGTGAGCATCCCCTGTACTCAGAACTGGTGAGGTTGCACCTCGAGTGCTGTGTTCAGTTTTGGGCTCCTCACTGCAGGAAAGACGTTGAGGTCCTGGAGCGTGTTCAGAGAAGGGCAACAAAACTGGTGAGGGGTCTGGAGCACAAGTCTTATGAGGAGTGTCTGAGGGAGCTGGGATTGTTCAGTCTGGAGAAGAGGAGGCTCAGGGGAGACCTCACTGCACTCTGCAACCTCCTGAAGGGAGGTTGTGGCAAAGAGGGATTTGGCCTCTTCTCCCAGGCAACGAGCAGGACACGGGGCAATGGCTGCAAGCTGTATCAGAGGAGGTTTAGAGTGGACATAAGGAAGAACTTCTCTCAGAGGGTGGTCAGGCACTGCAATGGCTGCCCACAGAGGTGGTGGAGTCACCATCCCTGCCAGTGTTCAAGAGGCATCTGGACAACGTGCTGCGAGATGTGATTTAGTGCTGGTGGTGGCAATGGTGATGAGGAGATGGTTGGACTGGATGATCCTATAGGTCGTTTCCAACCTTGTGATTCTATGATTCTAAGCTCTTTTCTACAATCACTAAGGAACAAAAGAACCCAATTTGGTGACAATGACATACTCTTGTGTTGATTACATTGTCCATGTACCAACTTTTCAGGGCCTTTTCATTTAACTTTAAGAGGAAGCTGCATTTTCAGAGATACAGTTCACAATATGCTGCAGACCTACAAGTGAGCAGAAGGGAAGCCTGTCCATCTCCATCTATTAGCTCTCCTCTGATCGCTCAGACAACTGGAAAATCCAGTCGGGTATTCTAATCCCATTCAGCCACTCACTGTCCTCAACTCCTCACACACATTTCTCTCTACAGTCTCATCTGTGAGGCCCCATCTGGAATAATGTGTCCAAGTGTGGAGCCCGCAGTACAAAAAAGACAGGGAGCTGTTGGAGAGGGTGCAGAGGAGCCACAAAGATGATCAGGGGGCTGGAGCACCTCCCCTATGAGGACAGGCTGAGGGAGCTGGGCTTGTTCAGCCTGGAGAAAAGAAGGCTGCGGGGTGACCTCATGGCAGCCTTCAGTACCTAAAGGGAGCCTACAAACAGGAGGGGAATCAACTCTTTGAAAGGGTTGATACGTGTAGGATGAGGGGAAATGGTTTTAAGTTGATGGAGTGAAGATTTAGGTTGGACATCAGGGGGAAATTCTTTACCCAGAGAGTGGTGAGGTGCTGGAACAGCTGCCCAGAGAGGCTGTGGATGCCCCATCCCTGGAGGTGTTCAAGGCCAGGTTGGATGGGGCCCTGGGCAGCCTGGTTTAGCATTAAATGTGGAGGTTGGTGGCCCTGCATGTGGCAGGGGGGTTGGAGCTTCATGATCCTTGAGGTCCCTTCCAACCCTGGCCATTCTGTGATTCTGTGATCTGACAGCACAGCAGTTTGGAGCCTGCAAGCACTCTGGACTTTCTGCTCTGCTCCTGTCACATTTATACAAAGCATCAGCCCAGTACTTCTCTGACTAATTCTCAGCTGAACTACTCTGTCCATTTGTTGGGTATAGCAGAATAACTGCTCATGGGGTCAGTGCTTGATGAGAATCCTGCTGCCCTGTGCTAGAGATCATTCCTTAGAAAATAAATACCACATTCTGCAACATTCCCCAACAAATGACAACACACTCAAATTAGTAAATCGCTCTGTTTTCTTCAGATCAAATGAAATCCTTTGTGGATTGAAGGCGAGAATGCATGGCAGAGGAACAGCCTCCCAAATCCCAAACCTGAGCTAGAATGGGGAGTGCTGTCTGTCAAGGTCTGGAAGCAATGCTAGGTGAATCATATGATTCTATGAGATTCCATCAGACCAAAGCATCAGGAACCACACAGGCAAGTCTCAGTGTTGGGAGAACAACATCAGTCAAGATAAATAGACTGTTATTACACAGCAAAATATCACAGTAAAAAAAAACAAAGCAACATATTATGTTATCTTTTTTAAATTCTAACTTGTATACTTTGTCATTTCAAGTGTCTCAGAGCTTTAAAACTGCCCTGTAACAGACAGTTGTTGAATGCACTATTAGAACTAGCAAGGCTGATGAGGTGCTGCCATACAGAGGAAGGGAAGGCACCACACATACAGATAGATAACATAAAAGAGAGGAAACAACCTCCTTAATTCCATTCTTTTGACTTAACAAAAAAAGAACAATTGGTCACTTGTTGTAATCTCTCACAGAAGCTTACTTACAGAACAAAAAGTGTTTGCTCAACAGCATTTGCCTGTTGTTTAGGGAAAGTAAGTCAACTGAACATGGCTTTTGTCTGCATTTCTTTAAAAAATGGAAAGAAATGACAAAGTTTGGGGTTAAAAGCCAAGAATTAATCAACAACTCTTAAAAATACTTCTTTAAAAGGAATGAATCATTGCCATTGAGACACAGCTCTACAAAGTAATGAGGTTTTTAAATATAAGCCTTCCAAAAAGCATATGTTCAGAAAGCTGAGAGATCCACAAAGAAGTTATCCGAGCACTTTTACCTCTCTATAAGAAAAAACAGTATACCAATAGGTGTGTGTTAGCAGCTGCATCTCTGTGCTGGATCATTCAGAAGTCAGCAGTGAGCCAATGCCTGAAATCTAAAAAGGTTTTCAAATACTCATAAAAAGGAAAGCATCCTCTCACTGAGCTCCAAGGTCTCCTGCTGCTGCCTTCCTGCTCTCACACATCTTCCCATCACACAGGACCTGCTTCTGTTCCCTTCCTTTTGATTCCCACTGAAATGCTTGCATGTTTCCTCTGCTGGGCTGGACATCTGCTTCTTAGCCTCCCAACAGGAGAGTGCTCTGATTATTTGCTTGACTCACCCAACTGCAATTAAAACAAAAGCTGTGGTGCTGGTTATTGTAACAGATCAGCTTGTACGACTTCTGACAGCTGGTAAAGCTAGGACAAGTGACAGTACTCTAATTATGAGACCAAAAAAAGAAAGATCCCTGAACTCCCTTAATTTCCTAGTGATCTCACCACAGGAATCCAGCCAAGCTAATCAGATCCAGTTATTACTCAAACAGGAAGCAACAAATCCTGCAGATAGGCTGGACTGCAGATAGAAAAATAAATAAATAAATCAATATTCTTTGATGTTGTATTAATGGATGTAGGCTCAGAAAGCCAAGATGATGCAGCAAGCACACACTTAATGTGAAACAGACTTGGAGCAGAGAGGCTAACCCAAGGCACTGTTAAAACAGACAGGGTGCAGCCATCTCCCACTGCTTCAAACTCAGCATCCTAAAATGAAGAGATTCAACATGAAATTCCACAAGAATTGAGGGCTGCAGCACCTCCCCAGTGAAGACAGGCTGAGGAAGCTGGGCTTGTTCAGCCTGGAGAAGAGAAGGCTGTGGGTGACCTCATGGCAGCCTGCAGTACCTAAAGGGAGCCTACAAACAGGAGGGGAATCAACTCTGCAAGGGTAGATAACAGCAGGACAAGGGGAAATGGTTATAAGTTGAGGGAGGGAAGATTTAGGTTGGATGTCAGGGGGAAGTTCTTCACCACGAGAGTGGTGAGGTGCTGGAACAGCTGCCCAGAGAGGCTGTGATGCCCCGTCCATCCCTGGAGGTGTTCAAGGCCAGGTTGGATGGGGCCCTGGGCAGCCTGGGCTGCTGTGAAATGTGGAGGTTGGTGGCCCTGCATGTGGCAGGGGGTTGGAGCTTCATGATCCTTGAGGCCCCTTCCAATCTGGGATATTCAGAGAATCTGTGAACTGTTGCTACCCCTCAGGTACCAAAATAACATCAACATGTGTTCATAGCACCTGGAGGAACGCAACTAGAAATCCTCTCCTCTGAACCCTCCCAGTATTTCCCCAGCATAAGCTAGAGCAAAGAGTATTTGGAATTGAGCATCGATATATCAACCTCAAAGCTAAGAAATTTGTAGAAATAAAGATTTTTTTGTAGATTTGTTTAAAGATGTCTTGTTTCAGGTAAGAGGTTGACAAAGATTCATCCTTCTCCAGATGAAAAATTAACTCAAGCAAAACCATGCCAGAGATCCTGAATTAATTCTTACAACGAAGCAGCCATCTCCAAAGGACAGAAGATGTCTGTCTTCCCAGTCACCATTTACATGAGCCTCAGAACTCCATTTGTACAATGAAATCTGTACAGCAGATAGTAACATTTAGCAGAAACAGAAATGCCTGATATTCAGAGAGAATACTGGAACAACACTCCTTTCCTATCCAGGCACTGGACAGCTATTAGAATCAGATTTTCAGACCAGACACTATAGGAGGAAAACTCTTCATAGAATCACAGAATGGCCTGGGTTGCAAAGGCCCACAGTGCTCACCCAGTTCCAACCCCTGCTGTGTGCAGGTCACCAACCAGCAGCCCAGGCTGCCCAGAGCCACATCCAGCCTGGCCTTGAATGCCTGCAGGGATGGGGCATCCACAGCCTCCTTGGGCAACCTGTGCCAGTGCCTCACCACCCTCTGGGGGAAACCTTCCTCCTCATATCCAACCTAAACCTCCCCTGTCTCACTTTAAAACCATTCCCCCTTGTCCCATCACCATCCACCCTCACAAACAGTCGTTCCCCCTCCTGTTTATAAGCTCCCTTCAAGTACTGGAAGGTCACAATGAGGTCCCCCCAGAGCCTTCTCTTCTCCAAGTTGTATTCAAGAACTACTTGTACAAGTATACCTGAGTGCCTGTGCAAGCCTTTAAATTCAACTTACCACTGACATGAGGACTTCAAACTCTTTCTCAGGCAGAAAAGCACTCCATCCATCTTCAACAATTTCAAACATGGGCCGGTAGAAGAACGGGTACATAAGAGTGACAGAATCCAACGTAGAAAGTGCCTGTGTGGGTGAGAGGAATAAACACGTGGCTGAGATTCAAACATTTTCCTCTAAAACACCACTTTCTGTATGTTTTTTCTCTAATACTGGTGATGAAAGCTTAATAAACTTAAGTGGTCCAAAAGCTGCCATGCTTGAAATACAGTCACCTGAAGGGTAGTTTAGCAGTCATATAGCCACGTATCACAAGAAAGCTGATAATCATCTAACCATAATAGAGGATTTGCCTGCATAGTAACCTTGTGCAAGCCATGATATTTAACAGCACAATAAAGAACAGGACATGTCCTACGTGACATTTACCCCCTTACTTGAGAAGAGCTAAAGCAGAGGTCTGAGAATCCATGCTTACCATTATAAATTCTTACCTCAATAGAGCTAGCAATGTTCAGACACTCCTCCATTCCAGGAATATCCAGCTGAATAATTCGCAGATCTTTGCATTTGATAATGATGGTCCCCAATGAGCCCAGAAACCTAGAGCAAGACATGAAGAAAGAGCCTTTTCAGAACGTGAGGAAGTATTACAGCTTCTCCCACAAGACAAAATGCCATTAGCAGTAATTCCTGTACAACACATGCACCATCATCTTTCCAAAATGTATATACATTTGGTAGTTTTCAAGATGGACTCTGCTTTATTTCATCTGTGTGGTGTGGCATTACAGGATGGAGAAGACTTTCATCCCAACTTTGCTTTAAAATACAAAAGAAGGGGCACCTTCTGGTCTGATAAGACTGGAAGCATTCAGGGCCAGGTTGGATGGGGCTGTGAGCAACCCTAGTCTAGAGGGAGGTATCCCTGCCTATAGCAGGGGGTTGGAACTGGGTGATCTTAAAGGTTCCTTCCAACCCAAACCATTTCTATGATTCCATGAAGTTCTCAGCCTCCTTAAAGTGATATGCTGAAACTTTAAGGACAGCTGGAAACAAGTGAGCAGAATTTCATATTTAAAACATTTCAGGCTGGCTATATTACAACCCTTTAACAAACAGGTTTGGTTTCAGAGAGCTCCACAGCACTGCAGGTATCTGTTCTGCAAACCTCAGAAGCTAAGCTCTTATCACAAGCATTTACAAAGCAAACCAGAAAAGCTCTATGCTGCAAAGTAAATACAGCACACAGACGCCCTCTCCAGTCTTCCTTGTGTATCTGAAAGCTGGGTGATGCCTGAGCAGAAAAGGAATGGTTTTTCCCCCACTTAAAGTTGTCAGCAGCATTCACAGAAACAGCATAGATATCAGTTTGCAAAACAGAAGGCTAAGGAAGAGCAGCAAAGTTTCCTCATTCACCACAAGAGCACTTCCAGCAGCCAGGGGTGATGCAAGAAACAGAAGCAGATGAAAACTGAAGGGCCAGGTTTCAGTCAGAGCACACATACAGGGTCAGAGCTGTACTGCCCTAAAGGGAGACTGTTGCTAAGCTGTGGTTGCCTCACCAGGGTTGTGAGAAATGCCTGTAATTTAGAAATTACTGCAGCTGAAAGGAGATAATCTATTTCTTCAGTGCCAAGGTCAGCATGCAGAACCTATTATGATTTTAGTACTGCTGAAGGAAGAACTAGAGGCATTTTGAGGTACTTCTGCATCTCCAACATAGCTGCTCTGTGCACAGCACTGCAAAAAGCACATGCAATTTCAGACTCCCAATGTGCAGAACCAGCACAGCACCACTCCCTTTCCCTGTTACTTTAAGGAAAAGCTCCATGTGAGATCACTTGAGACTGCTTCTCTTCTCAGTAACTCCATAAAAAGGACCTGTAAGGTCATATTAAGTTGCAGGAAAAACCACCAGAAGTTGAAGAGCATCCTGAGGGCTGGTAAGTAATGAAAACACTTTCAGACACAATACAAACCATGAAAGTGGGAGGAGACAACAAACCTGACACGGTATCACGGCTGTAGTCACTAATAACCTGAGGCTGTGCCAAAGAGGAGATTCCTACAATCCTTATTGGCTTGAAGAGCCTTCTTATTGCATTCCCTCAAGCACTGAGAAGAACATGCTCTCCCATCCTTTTGTACATGGACAATTACTCACACAAAGCCATTCTCAGGGAGGAAAATATCCACTCCAGAGACCTTTTGAAACTCCTTGTTGCTTTGGTATTAACAATGCACTTTTTGGGTGAAGCTCAGAAACCCTTTAGAGAAGAGAAGGCTCCATAAAGATCTCACTGTGGCCTTCCAGTAGTTGAAGGGAGTATAAACAGGAGGGGACCAGCTGTTTACAAGGGATGGGATAAGGGGGAATGGTTTTAAAGTGAAACAGAGGAGGTTTAGGTTGGATTTTAGGAGGAAGTTTCTCCCCAGAGGGTGGTGAGGCACTGGCACAGGTTGCCCAAGGAGGCTGTGGATGCCCCATCCCTGCAGGCATTCAAGGCCAGGCTGGATGTGGCTCTGGGCAGCCTGGGCTGCTGGTTGGTGACCTGCACGCAGCAGGGGGTTGGAGCTGGATGAGCACTGTGGGCCTTTGCAACCCAGGTCATTCTATGATTCTATGAAAAAGAAACAGAAGCTTCTTCATAATCATTTTATGAGACAGAGCTATAGCTGGCTTAGTAGCAGCAGCCATGAGGACAAGGCCAAACCTCCCTGATGACTGAGCAGTGCCAGATAGGAGCAGATTTCCTTAGGTTTCACTCTGTTCCTCTCCACCCTCAGGCCAGGAAACAGCATTTCTCAGAAACACTGAGAGAAATCAGAGCCAAAGGAACAAAGTTAACCAGTGCCAAGTCCTTTAGCCACTGTGAGAAAGCCTGATTTTTATAGCCACTGCTACTGGATCTTTCCTGCTTTTGTCAGAGGGGAAACCTATTTCTCCAGATTGCTTTAGAAGAGGAAAATAGGGGAGATCTATATTGTATTACCAAACTGAGAAAAGGACAGCAGTGAAGCAGCACAGGGTTATGGCCAGAAAGTGGTCTGTCACTCAACAGAACAAGGGAAGCACAGTGAAGAAACATCACAGAACAGAAACAATGTGGAGAAGATTCATCTCCAAAGTTCCCGTGACAAAAGGAGATGGGTGAGGGTAAAGTGCCACTGCAGAGCTACAACACAGCTTCACCATACCATCCCAGCAAGAAGCATCACAATGCTAAGTGCTAATAATTCCTGCAACAGCAGGGGGGAGAATCACAGAATAGCTTGGGTTGGAATGGACCTCAAGGATCATGAAGCTCCAACCCCCTGCCACAGGCAGGCCTGCCAACCTCCACATTTCATAGCAGCCCAGGCTGCCCAGGGCCCCATCCAACCTGGCCTTGAACACCTCCAGGGATGGACGGGGCATCACAGCCTCTCTGGGCAGCTGTTCCAGCACCTCACCACTCTCTCTGTAAAGAACTTCCCCCTGACATCCAACCTCAATCTTCCCTCACTCAACTTAAAGCCATTTCCCCTTGTCCTGCTGTTATCTACCCTTGTAAAGAGTTGATTCCCCTCCTGTTTGTAGGCTCCCTTTAGGTACTGAAGGCTGCCATGAGGTCACCCCGCAGCCTTCTTTTCTTCAGGCTGAACAAGCCTGGAGAAACCAGAACGGAGCCCGCCGAACCCCGAGACAACCGCGCAGGAGGGCAGGGAGGCAGGCGGGAAGGCCCGCACCTTTTCTCAATGCAGTCGATATTGGAGTGCAGCAGCCACAGCTCCTCCTCGTTATCCTGGCGCCGAGAGGAGAAGATGAGGTGGTGCCCGGTGAGGCACAGCGTTCCCTCCACGGTAGGGTGGAAGGGCCGGTGCAGGACGGCGTTGTCCGCCCGGGGAGTCTTGATCAGCTCGGCGAACTCCATGCTGGCAGGGAATGAAGGAAACCGAGAGTCCCGGGGCCGAGGGGGGCCAGGCCGCCGCCAGCACCCCCGGGCCGGCGGGAGGCGCCGAGCGGAGCGGAAGTGGAACGGGCGGATCGTCCGCCGCTAACGGGACGAGGCGGCGATCATGTGACGCACCGCTAACCAATAGCGGTCCGAGTGGGCGTGTTGGGGGGGGAGGAACCCCGCCTCTACCGGAAGTGCCTCTCCTCATCGGTCCGGCGCACAACGCGCCCTGCGGCCGCGCGTTCCGCGGCACAGGGTGGGCATGGAGGCGCGGTGGGCGGGGCTGAGGAGGGCGTGGAGGAGTGCGCTGGGGGAATGCATGGGCTGTGCGCAGGTCGCCCATCGCCCGCCCCGTGCTTGTAGAAGAACGGAATCATTCACGTTGAGAAAGACCGCTAAGATCCCCGAGTCCAACCCCAGCCCACCCCACCATGCCCACTGTGTCCCGCAGTGCCACATCCCCACGGTTCTGAGCACCTCCTTGGACGGTGAGCCCACCACCTCCCTGCAGCTGTGCCCCTGCATCACCGCTCTTTATGAGGATGAATGTTTCTCGTCCTGTCGCCACCCCACCTCACCACACCTCCTTTCAGGAGCACTGAGGTCTCCCTGAGCTTTTCAGCTCCAGACTGACGCATCCCAGCTCCCTCAAGCACTCCTCGTAACACTTGTGCTCCAGACCCCTCACAGCTCCATTGCCCTGCTCTGCACACGCTACAGGCCTCGATGTCTTTCTATAGTGAGGTGCCCAAATCTGAACACAGCCCTCGAGGTGCGTGCCAAGCACTGCCTGCCGCTCTTTGCCTGGGGAAAACACAGCCTGCTTCTGGCTTTCTTCTCTATCATCAGAATCCCAGCACTGCTGGGGTTGGAAGGGACCTCAAGGGATCATAGAATCCAACCCCCTGCTAAAGCAGTTCCCTACAGTAGGTCACATATGTTGGTATCTAGACAGGTCTTGAATATCTCCACAGAAGGAGACTCCACCACCTCTCTCGGCAGCCTGTGCCAGTGCTCTGTCACCCTTACTGCAAAGTTCTGCATGTCTGTACAAAACTTCCAGTGTTCAAGTTTTAGGCCATTGCTCCATGTCCTATTTCTACATGCCACCAAGAAGATCCTGATCTCATCCATTTGCCTTCCACCGTCCTTCAGATATTTATAAACACTGATCAGATCCCCCCTCAATCTTCTTTTCCTCAGGCTGAACAGACCCAGGTTACTCAGCCTTTCATCTCCAAAAAGCTCTTTGAAAATTCTGGTATAAATCCACTTTATCTTTCAAACCTAAGTCCCAGCTTGTGCCATAATCTGAGTTTTCAGGGGACAGTGATGCCCCAGCACTGCTGGCCAGAGCAGTGGCTGACCCATCCCTGCTCAAGGCCATGGATGGGCCTTAGGCAGTCTGAGCTGCTGGGGGGCACCCAGCCCAGGGCAAGGTTTAGAACTGTGTGGGCTTTCAGTGTGTGTGACTGTATGCTTTTCCCTGTGCTCCTTCCATGGGGCAGCAATGTGGTAGCATCATCCTGTGCGTCATCCTGAAACTTTCTCAGTGTCAGAAGAACTGACTGTAGCTGATACTCCATGGCATGAGATGCCTTAATGGTTAGAGAACCATTAAGATTGGAAAAGACCTCTGAGATCCCCAAGCCTAACCCTAGCCCACCCCCACCATACCCATTGCCCACACTCCTTTGTGCCACATCCCCACAATTCCTGATCTCATTCCAGCACCTCACCACTCTCATAGCAAAGAATTTCCCCCTGACATCCAACCTCAATCTTCCCTCCATCAACTTAAAATAATTTTGCCTTGTCCTGCTGTTATCTACCCTTTCAAAGAGTTGATTCCCCTCCTGTTTGTAGGCTCCCTTTAGGTACTGAAGGCTGCAATCAGGTCACACTGCAGCCTTCTTTTCTCCAGGCTGAACAAGCCCAGCTCCTTCAGCTTGTCTTCACTGGGGAGGTGTTGCAGCCCCCTGATCATCTTTGTGCTCCTTTGGACCCTCTCCAACAGCTCCCTGTCTTTTTTGTTCTGGGGGCTCCAGACCTGGACACAGTGCTCCAGATGGGGCCTCACAAGAGCAGAGTAGAGGGGGACAATCACCTCCCTGTTCCTGCTGGCCACCCCTCTGCTGGGTTATTTCAGTAAAGTTAGAGTTTTGAGTTGGATAGTACTGAAATTTGGCATATATGCTGAGAAGGGCTCCCAGACAGAAGGGAGCTTCTCAGCAGTGGCACAGGACAAAGGCAGCTACCAGCTGACCGCAGAAGAGGAGCTCTGCCTGCTTTGCAGCACACTGGCCACACAAGGTGTGGGCACTGGTGTAGAACTACAGGTCTTGCTCAGCACAAGAAGCTCCAGTTCCTCAATCTGCTTATCTCTGGAGAATAATAAAGCATGAAGATCGTGTTGTCAGACACAGCTCTCTTTGTCAAAGAAGAATAGTTGCTTCATACCATCCTATCTACGATTACCTTGGTGGGGCAAGTTCAAGGCTGTTTAGTCCCCACATGATGGAAACAGCGTGGAACTATCAGTGCAGATGCAAACAGACAGCTTTTGATAACAGCCAGTTCTAGACAATGGCACAGGAGAGAGATTGCAGGGCTATTTAGGTACAGTGACCTGAATTTGTATAATCCCCTCTGTTGGTGAGTTCACTCTCAGTTTGCCCAAGCTCTTCTTTGCGTGTCTTATTAATGCTGGCAATTTAGATGATTTCTATATCTGAGCATAATTTGAAAGTCTAATTAATGGCATTTTCTTCTCACAGATACAGGCAAAGGGTCACAATAAGAGAGTTTAATACTCTTCTTCTAGTGTTGGCACTGCCCCACATCATCAGCTACTCTAAGAGAAAAGAGAGTTCTGTCCCAGTTCTGGAGCTACTAGAGCATGGCAGTCCAGTGTGTAACTTAAAAATGTGTCTGCTCTTTTTTAGAGCAGTACTGGGATGGCCTCAAAGCAGCACTGTACCATTTCTTTCTGCATTTTGCATGATAGCTTGGGAAGCCTTGGTGGGAATCCAGACCTAAAACAAATTCTCTCACCTTTAGGTCATGAGGGGTAGCATTAAAGTGCTGCTTGCCTACACAGCTTGTCCTGGCTCACAACAAAGAGCTGCTTCAATGACAGGCGCATCTCTGGAGGTGTTCAAGGCCAGGTTGGATGGGGCCCTGGGCAGCCTGGTCTGGTATTAAATGTGGAGGATGTGGAAGTTGGTGGCCCTGCCTGTGGTGGGGGGTTGGAGTTTGATGATTCTTGAGGTCCCTTCCAACTCAAGGCATTATGTGATTCTATGATTCTATGATTCACAGTGGAGGTTTCCATGCAAGTGCATGGTGTGGGTACAGCTGTCCAACAGAAATCCTTGGCTTAACTGACTAAACAAACCTGGAAAAGAAAATGAAAAGCATATGCTCTTGGGAACCAGTATTCATTTTACCTGCCCTCATTTCTAGTTCCATCTGCCATCGTTTCCAAGACCAGACCACAGGGAGCAGAGAGGGTGACAGCCCTACACATTCGCTGTGCTGCTCAGCTCCTGTCTGACTTCCACCCATCTTGTAGATCTGAAGCCACCAAGGTAAAAACAAGGTAAAAAAAAGCCATTTCAGGAGGGCTAGTGCTGTGGTGATACCTTCAGCTACAGGAGAGTCATCTCCATACAGCCCCTTCTTCCTTATGCCCCATCCTTAGAGATGCTCAAGGCCAGGTCAAAAAATAAATTGGCTCAGTTCTCTCCCCACTCTGAGCCTGACCATTCTCCAAGGCTTGTTGTCCCTCCTGTGAAATAAAGAGCAGGAAAGTTTGGAGCAGACTCCTCCTGGAGTACTGCAACCATGCCTGGTATTGCAGTCGTTAAGTGTCACTACGATCTTCTAAAGAGCAGAGAATATGCAGGACATGATGAAGAGTACAACATATCTCTGGTGCAAAAAAGCAGGTAATGGGTTAATCAGAGTTCTCCAGTTCATGAAGGCTGGCAGCTCCAAAGAATCGTAGAATATCCCCAGTAGGAAAGGACTCACAAGGACCACTGAGCCCAACTCCTGGCTCCACACAGGACCCCCAGATCTCTTTCTGTGGGGCTGCTCCCCAGCCTCTTTCCTCTCGGTCTGTTCACATAGCCAGTGCTGCCCCATCCCCATTTCAGAATCCACCACTTGTTAAAACTCCACGCAGTTGTTAATTGCTCCTGTAGAACCTCCTAAGAAACAGCAATCCTCTCAAGCAGCGGTAGCCTATACATTGAGAAGATGTCCAGGCAGGAGGAGACGCAGCTGAGGCAGCACTCTGTGCTATATGCCCAACAGTCCTCCTTCCAGGTCCCTAAATGCCCAGCCATCTGCTTCCTGGCCATCTCTCACACATCCTGCAGGGGCTTGCAAGGAGACTCATCTGGCCATGAGGGTAGGAGGGCACTTCCCACGTTCCCATTTCCTGGCTGGTGAACTGTCTGGGTCTCTGGCCACGCTTCTCAGGTTGGACTGGTGGAGGTTCCTCTCCCCCCTACCAAAGGCAACACATCTCCCACATGGGAGGCAATTAGCATGATATTGGGCTTCTCAGTGAATGAGTTCTTCTCCCCTCTTCTGCTCCTATCAGCTTGGTTTTGCTTGTCATATCCAAAGCATAACTGGCTGCAGAATACCAGAGGATCACCCTCCATCTGCCACAGTTTCACGACCAGTTGGCTCTTGGAGAAGCACTAGTACTTTTGTAGGGCTCTGCTGTTTCTATGTTTTCATTCCTGAAACAGATTGTGATTTGACTATCCCAACACCAAACCATTCCCTCTCTGACATCTTCCTAACGAAGAGTGGAGGAGCATGAAACAAAGGATGTTTGTGGCTGAAACCCACCAGAGACTGCAGAGAATACACCTGTGGTGGGAAACCCAGAGTGCCAAGGCAGCCACGAAGCCTGCATGCTCCTACCACATACTGGGCATGAAGGTGTCCTGGCTTCCCAAAGAGGGATTGGCTTTTGGAGTATCAGTCTCTGTGCTCTTGTAGTGGAACTGGCTGGACTAATACGCTGGAACAGGTTGCCCAAGGAGGCTGTGGATGCCCCATCCCTGCAGGCATTC